ATATATATATATATATATAACGACAGAAAATATTAATAAAAAGTTAAAAGAGTGTGCTGGAATCTTGACAAAACTACGTAAGTTACAACAAAGTAAGGCCGTCCGGTATGGTTGCAACGGACGAGTTCGTGGTCTAGGTGGCCACGAACCACGACCGTTCACACCATCCCGGTGGCTCGTAGTGGTTCGTAGTCGTGAGCGTTTGTGGTTCGGACAACGAATGGAAACAGCCAATTTGATTGGCTGTTGAGTAACGACCATATTTAGGGTTTAAATTTTTTTTTTTAACTTTATCTTTCAAACACCATTAAATCTCTTCTATAAATACCACATTTATTCACTCATTTTACTCACACGCTTCTTTTGATTGATAAATTCAAAACCAATGGTTCCTAAAAGGATGAATTGGTCAGAAAATAAAGAAGAGAACTTAGCATTAGCATAAGTAGCTGTTTCAGAAGACCCAGAAATGCCTCCTAATTTTTGGGTAAAAGTTGGAAACGTTTTCCATGATTTAATAGATTGCCAAAGTCGTAGTCTTGATGAAATGTGTTCAAAGTTTTGCGACATGGGGGTTAAATGCCTTGAATTCAATGAGATTTATAACTTTGTTATAAACAACGTAGACGAAGGCGACCCGTTTGCTGTGGCCATGCACCAATATGAAGACACGAAACACATCGTTTAAACATGTCAAAGCTTGGCGAAAATTGAGAGAGTCCTCAAAATTTAGTCATTAAAAATAAGGTTTAAAAACTAGTTTAAGTTGTCTGTGGTTGAATTTTTATGTTTTTTTTATTATTATCTTTTTTTTTATGTTGTGTGTTTTAAATTAATGTAATCTTTGTTTCATTGAATAAAAAACTATTTTAAAAAAAATATATGTTTTATTGTGTTTGTGAATTAAATTTAAATAAAAAAAATATGTTTTATTGTGTTTTAATGTGGTTTTGAATTAAATTTAAATAAAAAAAATGAAGTGGAGTGGTTTGTTTAGTGATAGGTATCTCAAGGTTAGTGGTAGGGAGTGTAGTGATGATATGACACCCACCACTATAATGGTTAGTGGTGAGTATAACGAATGGTCTAAGAATACAAGTAAGATAGAAAATCATATGCACCAACCGCCTTGTAAAGATGCATTAACATATACGTGGCTTTAATGCAGAAATGACATTAATTGGTATAATTCTCAATCGTAATATGTTATCAGAATGAATATTTATAAAAATACATTCTAAATAAATAATTAAATATATGTGATTTATAATTTCTACAAAATAATATAGATAGTTGATAGAAGTTTATAAACTATAAAAGTTTATATTTTGTATTTTGATTTTGTTTTATAATGGTGAAAAATGTTATAAACTTATAGTTAAAAAAAAAGGCAACGGAACCTTGACCAAAATACATAAGTGTACTATGTTTACAACAAGTAAGAGTACAAATAGTAAAAAGAACCATATACACCAACGGCCATGTAGAGATACATTAACATAGCGCTTTATTTCATAAATGACAATGTATAATTCTCAATCGTAATATGCTATCTAAGCAAATTTTGAATTGCTTCTGAATTTCTTCCGAAACTTCATTATCTTCTTCGTTTATGTCGAATCCAAAAACGAATTCAAATTCAAAAGTCTCTCTAATCGATAATCGTCTTCAACTTATTTCATTTATCATCCTGAAAATCAAGGTTTCATTCCAGTTTCTCAACCACTCAACGGAGAGATCTATCCTTTTTTGAGTCGACCGATGTTAATTGCATTGTTAATCAAAATGTCAAAAATAAAGTAGGAATCATCGATGAATCTTTGCCTCAACCGGATGGATGTTACTGATTCCATTATCATGTATAACTCATGAAACCTCAATTCTATATCAAAGAAAATTTCCACAAGCATCATGTTTGTAGATTTAGCATTCTAGATATGGAATGATCTCAAGGATCAATATCAGAAAAGTAACGTTTCACAAATCTTTCAAATACGCGAAGAAATCTTCAATCTTAGTCAGAATCAAAATACTATTGGATTTTATTTCACACATCTCAAGTCTCTATCCGAAGAAGTTAGTTTTCGCTCTAGATCCACATGTGGGAAGTGTGACTGCAATGGAGTTCATAAGATCGAAAAGTATTTTCAAGCCGACACAAACCCTGAATTTTCTTATGGCATTGAATGATTTGTTCTCCCATACCACAAGTTAGGTCTTATTATACCAACCATTAACCGGGTTTTTCTCACTAGTCGCACAAGAAGAAAAGAAAAAGATGATCTCACATGATGCACAAAAATATGTTGTTTTCATAGACAGTTATCAAAGATCAAACACAAAGAAAGGCCTTAATGTCACTACCCCCGAAAAAGGCCTTTAATGGCACGCATTGAATATCATTAAAGGGGACATACTACATACATGGTCTAAAAGCCGCTATGGCATGCGTCAAGACGTGCCATGGCAAAAGATGTGGTGTAGCCGTCTCGAAAACATCCAATGTGAGTTTGTTAAGCGTGATGCCCAAATAACGTGTCGAACCACGTCTTATCACGTAATGACGTGAGTTTTTTTATCGGGCATAAAACAATTGAGTTTTTGTTAAGTTTTTCATACTAAATGTTAATGTAACACGTCTAAAAACTTGATATATTTGATATAATTCTATAATTATATGATTTTTTTTTATGTATGTACAATTGTCATGTCTAGAAAAACGCTAATGCTCACCATGACTTGAGGCTTGATATTGTCGTCATGCCATGCCTCACACAATTTAAAACACTGGTACTCATGATACACAAATGTGTGTCATTAAAGTCTCAATCATAAATGAAGATGCCAAACGTTTATGTGTCATAAGTTAACGGCACACATTATATGACCCACTTTATGTATGCCATACTTTTTTAACATTTTTTTTTTAAATTCTTTATAGATATTTTATATGTCATGCCTTTTGACAAAATTTATAAAATATTTTTTTTTCTAAATTTACTAATATTCAAATTAAATCACATGTCATATAATACAAAATAAAATATTATACACAAAAAATACATACAAGCTTCTTTATCAATACAACACCTTTGAAGGTTATTGATAATCAATCCCCATATCAGAAGCTACATGATATGAGTCCTGATTACTCTCATTTACAATATCTTGGATGTTTGGCGTATGCTTATACTCTTACTAGTCATCGTCTTGAATTTGATCCGGAGCTAAAGCATGCATCTTTCTGGAAAGGTTTTTCCATTTTATGTCCTCAAATGAAGACATAGAAACTTCTCAATCTTCAAACAAAACACGTGAATAATTCATGGGATGTTGTTTTCCATGAAAAGTTTTTTCCATTTTATAATCATTCTAACAACATTCAATCGTATCCTTTTGCACATAATGCTCTACGCATACCATTATGGATGAATCGACTTCGCATACTTTCTATTGTTTCATTACATTCCCCAAAATTTTGACACAATGCTAGTATGCTACAACAAAACGCTATTTTAGGCCCATTTACATTAAGTAATTTACAAAACTACCACCTCTATTAATTAATGAAACCAATATTTAAGTACTTAACCAACTCTTCCATTTAAATCAATTAACATATTGATAAAACTAATTTCACAAACACGAATACTTGTAACTTAATACTTAAAGATAAAAATAAACAGGAATCTTTTTAAAAAATGGATGAAAGATTCTAGGCCATATACAAAAAAGCAGATTGAACACGTGACTTTTTCAAACACCTATTGTGCATTAGTTATCAACATTCTTGAATTTGGGAAAGGAGAGATTTTGCTCTATTACAACCATGCAGAAAGCTACGCCATATACTTGCATTTGGCGAAAAAGGCATCCCGAAAATCAACTTTTCTGCTTCCTTTAAGTCACCATATCTAGCCATTAAGTCAACAACAACAAGATAATGTTCCATTTCTGGCTCAATCCCATACTTTTCTTTCATTATTTCAAACAATTCCATTCCTTCTTTCACTAATCCCACATGTCTACAAGCCGAAAAAACAGCCATGAAAGCAATCTTATCAGCTTTAACACCAAACATTTCCATTTCCTTAAACTTTTCTATTGCCTCTTTTCCAAATCCATGTAACCCAAGAGCCGAAATCAAAACTGTCCATGATATCACGTTTTTCTTCATCATTTCTTCAAAAATCATAATTGAACCCCGAATACTTCCACATTTCCCATACATATCAATCATTAAATTGTTTACCATTATGTCAAAATGATTGAAATTGGATTTTATCATAAGCCCATGAAGAGAACTACCCAAAAGAAGGTTACATAAGTTTGTGGAAATAGTTATCAAGCTAACAAATGTGTAATTATCGGGTCCAATTCGGTCAATCAACATGTGGTGAAAAAGCTCAAAAGCTTCTTTGTAATCTCCATTACGTGAACAAGCTTCAATCAAAATGTTCCATGAAACAATATCAGGGTTTCCTACTTCACAAAACAGTTCTTGAGTTTTATGGTATTCCCCATTTCTATTATACATCCCACATATAACATTCGTATGAACAATAGATTGTGGGATTTTGGAATCTTGAAAGAATCTCAATGCATCAGAAGGGAAACCGTTTTTGGCATATGAGGTCATGAGGGAACTAGTTATGTATTCGTTTGAATGGAAACCGGTTTTTATAACTAAAGAATGAATCTCCTTGAGTTCTGTAGCTAAAAGTGACTTTATAACACTAGAGAATGAAAATTCATTCGGAGAAATACCCGAGTGTATCATTTTTATCATTAGGAGAAGAGAAGATGAACATTGTTTATCTGAATATCCGTGAATTAAAGCATTCCATGAAACCAAATTCTTGTCATGTATTTTGTCAAAACATGGATGAGCATAATCTAATCTATCATGTTTAGCGTATAAATTAACCAATGAAGTGGCTACAAGAGAATCTTTTTCAAATTGGTTTTTGATTATCATGGAGTGGATAAGTTCTCCATAAGTTAGATTATCTAACCTTGAACATGAAGTGATAGCATTCAAAAACGTGATCTTGTTTGGGAGAAAACCATTTATGCACATCTTGGAGAAGAACTCTATTGCTTTTATGGGTTCTTCCCCTTTCGCTACTATTCCAATTATTGTATTCCATGTCATCAAGTCTTTATTGGATACAAATTTAAACATTTTTTCTGCTAGAAATGTGTTACCTTCACATTTTCCATACATTTTAACAAGTGAGTTGGCAATTGCAACACTATGTTCTACTCCAAACTTTATAACCAACGCATGTATTTGTTCACCTGATTCTAGGTTTTCTTTAGATTGGAACCCAGTTAAAACACCCACGAATGAAGCTTCAGATAATGTGATTTCAGTCTTCATAAAGTGAGAAAACATTAACATGCATTCATTTGTGAATCCTTGATGTCCAGACAAAGATATGATTGCATTCCATGTCACTAGATTCTTGAAAGGCATTTCCTCGAACACCATGAATGCTTCACGGATGTAACCTTGTCTCCCAAACAAACCCAACAAAGCAGTTCCCACAAAAGCATCAGCAAAGAGCAAACCGCTCTTCATGGCCACTGATTGCAGACAGAATCCTTGATCAGTGTTTAATGAATCACACGAGAAAAGACTGGCGTATGTGAACTGAGTTGGGAAGAATCCATGATTCCTCATGTCAGCGAACAAATTGCAAGCTTCATTGTCTTCCTTGTTACGACTATAAGCACCAATCATGGTGTTATAAGAGACGACATTTCTATGAGGCATTTCATCGAACATCTTGCGGGCGATGGAAATGTGACCCAACGTAGCGTAAAGAGATATGAGATTATTATGGAAGAATTCAATTTGTGGTAAGCTAAATCCCATCGTTGTAATGAGTCCATGGAGCGACTTGATTGACTCAAGTGAGTTAACCTTTAAGCGCTTTCGAATCAACCTAAAGAGAGGAGAAGCCAGGACTTACTGTGAAGTTGTTCGATCTAAAAAAGAAGGTGAATATGTTCAATGTTCAGAACCCAGATACCATCTTAGCAAATATAAATGTGTAGAAGGAGAAATTTGTTAAATATCAATAATGCGATGACGTAGAAGAAATCAAGAAAACATACTCATCCGAGCATTTTTCTTTATGCGTCTATATATACTATATAGACAGCTTATGGAAAAGAATAAGAAAAAAGATGAAAAATTAAAAACAGCGATTAACGTTTTAAAGCTCGCATGGATAACTCTTTTGTGATATTGTTTTGGTGTTAGATGATAGGATATTACACTTTTAGTTGCTCCTGTTTCTATTAATGCTGTTAAATCTAAAAATTTATTTTTATCTAACCATAATCCACATAATCGACATTGTAGATTTATCATGTTAGGAGATCCATCTTTTTGTATTAATGTATGTTCATTTATTAGTTGAGACATTTGATTTATTTTATTTACTTTGTTTTCTTTAATATTTATATTTTTCTTTTTATCTAACAAATCCTTTAAATTACTTACTTTATTTTCTAAAGTTTGTATTTTTAATTTATGTAATTCGGTTATTATTTCTAATTTTTCTATTTTTTGTGATTGTAACTCGATTTTTACTCCTTTATTTTTTTTCTATTTCTTTTTTTTATTTATTTCTAAATTATATAACTTTTTAAGGCGTATGTAACAGATTTCTGCATTGTGAAACAATTTTTTTAATGAAATATTCTAATATTCTAGTATTCATAAAAGAATAATATTTATAATATTCTAACATTATATGCTTTTAGAATATTTCACCATAATATGTGTTAAAAATATTGTTTTAGAATATCAGAATATTACTTATATTATATTTTTTTGAATAACAGAATATTAGAAT